GGCTCATTAGTAACAAATTCCTTGAACCACTTCCAAAGTGAAAGCACAAGAAAAGAAAAGTAAAAGTGAATTCATCTTCCAACTCATATGTGTACATAATAAACAATTTCTGGTTCTAAGTCCAAAGTTTGTTTCATATCTGTCCACACTCAGATGCACAGAACAGGGAACCCAGACGTGAATCATCGCACATGTGTGGAGCTAAGATTTAGAAGATTTCTCCTTATGTGAAGGCAGGACTGGAAAAGAAAGAAAGGAAGGAAGAGAGAGAGAGAGAAAGGAAGAAAGAAAGGAAAGAAGGAAGGAAGGAAGGAAGGGAGGAAGGAAGGAAGGAAGGAAGGAAGGAAGGAAGGAAGGAAGGAAGGAAGGAAGAAAGAAAGAAAAAGAAAATGCCCCCGTTGAACCGTAATCAGCCCAGAAAACAATAGGAAGTCCTGGTGGCCTGGCTGGCCCAGTTCGAGGATCAGAGCATACTCCAGGGACTGCGACAAGGAAACAAGACAGCAGAGAGGAAGCCGATCCTTAGTCTTCTAAATAGACCAGCTGAAAACTAATAACATCCCCTAAGCGCTCACAGGCCTAATTAAGGTTTTTTGAACCTGATCAAAACGTTAATTACTTTGCACAAACTGAGCAAACATATAGATGTCACACCCTATGAATGTTTCTTTCAATTGCTATCTGGGGGAGGTAGATAGAAATTAAAATAGCGAGCACGTCAGTAAGTAGACTACACAGCTCTCTCCTCCCTTGTTCTCATGGGTATTCAACCTTTACTGACCATTTTGGTTTACTTTATGGTCAACCAGATAGGATATTATACTACCAATTACTGTTATTTATTGAACACCTACTCTTGTGAGGCACTTTGCTTCTGCTCCTCTATTTAATCTGTCAATAAAATTACAAGATAGGTTTTATTGTAGTATTTGCTTTCTGTGTACATTACACCCAGAGAGGCCCAGCGTTTGCTCCATGTTACACAGCAGGGGTGGACCATGATTTCAATCCAGTCCATCTGACTCCAAAGACCATGGCACTCTCCCCCTGGACTGTCTCGCCTAGCTAATGAAGGAAGCCAGTAAGGCCACCCCGTGCATCAATGCCTGCCTACCCTGGAGTATGTTGGCAACCTGCCCGACTTAACGGCAACCATAGAAAGGATTCTACTGGTCTCCACCAATTTAACCTCTCTGTGCTAATCTTCCTCTGCGTAGTTTCCCTGTGGGCGTGGTGAGCATGAGTGGAATTTCTTGCTGAGCAGTTGTGTACTATCCTATCGAGACTGGAAACACACAGAAAGGTGCTCAAGGGAATTGTTCTCAGCACTTGAATCAGGCATCAATGAGAATTAATGTGGGAGAGACCTCCTGCTGGAGTCACGCCTGGACACGTGAGCCACCCTCTGCACACGGTTTCCCCAGCCTGCAGGGCATGTGGCTCTTGTCCCATGTACATATCTGTATGTCTTCCTTCCTTAACTGAAATTACCTCTTTGTCTTTATAAGGTCCCTTGGAAGGCAGCCCCTTCTCTTCTCTCTCGCCCTGAGAGGTGAGTATGAACTTGGTATAATCTAGGGTTCTTTCCACAGCAGTGCCTTGAGGGGTCTCTGGTCCAGAATCCAGCCATCCTGAGGAAGGGTCTCCTGCCCTGTGAGCTTCCCTGGAAACCACCAGAAGAACACAGCTTCCTGCTGTAATCCACTGGCTCAGCACTTGGGGCATGGGATCCTCGTTGAGTTCATAAATACACGAAACCCTCCGAGGGTGTGTTTTCACTGACAAGCATGCAGTTATCACTGAGAAGGAAACCTGAGAACATAGGGAAGAGGCAGAAAGTGGAAAGACTAACCAGCCCAACGAAAGCGTCAGGGAGACCAGCTTCGATCCCTCAGCTCCCTGGGCAGCCAGGTGCTGCGTGACAGAGTTAGCATCTGAAAGTGAGCGGTCCAGCAGGGCTTGAGGTCGATCCCTAATCTTTGGTTTACAAGGAGGAAAGACTATGGTATTTTGGGAAAAATTCTAAAAGTTTCAAAGTGCTAGTACAGAGAATGATGTCTGTTATTTGAATGTAACTTACAGAAAATGCCTTGTTCTTTCCCTTGTTCTCACTGAAAGAAATGGCTTTGAAATCCATTCTACTCTGACTGAGGCCAGGACAGCAGCCATGCGGCTTACCCTGGGCACGCCTGGGGAGAGGACGCCACGGTGCTGGGGACCGTACAGGGGTCTGCTCATGTGGCTTGGATTTCCTAGTGCTGCAGGCACTTGCTGGGGGTTCTCACACAACAATCATAAAAGGAAGCAAAAACCGAGTATTCGTGCTTGGTAAAGTCCCAGTGACCTCTCAGTTACACTTCGTCTCACAGAGACGCCGACGGAAGTCATTTCTAGCATTCGTCCGTCATTATGTGCCTACAGCTGTGCTAAGCATTTACACACATGGCCTTAGTTAAAATTCATACCCTAGAAGTGTCCGATTATTACTCTCCCCATCTCACAGATGAGGAAACCAAGGATCAGAGATCCTTTAACCTGCCCAAAGTCTCCCGCCAAGGAAGGCGTCTAGGCAGGATGAGCAGAGCATAGTATCCTTTGAGGCTCCCTGGTAGCCTTGCAGACCGTCCTCTGCATGGCACTGGTAGACAGCCCAGGACCTGGCGGGGTCAGACCCTCGGACACCACTCTGCTGACCTCACCCAGGTAGGAGGGGATTTCCTCTGAATTTTTAAACTGCTTCCCATTTAGATCAGATCAATACGTGCTGTTTAAACTGCTGTGGTAGCAGATGACAGGACAGACACAGCCCAGGGCATGAGATAGGGCCTTTGTGAGTTGACAGCATAGTGGGGGGAGGCTGGGGAAACACAGGTGAAAGATGCTGCTGTGGTGAAGGCCAGGACACCGCTGTGCAATTGCCCAGGGAAACGCAGGAAGGGCTGCCTCATTCCTCCGGGCGGCCAGGACTTCCTGGGAGAGACGGCAGGGGAGTTCATCTTGGAGACTGATAAGTTGTCCCAGTGGAGAAGGGATGAATGGGAATGCCAGGAGGAAACGTGAGACAAAATAGTACCCAGAGGGAAGGGTTAGAAAGCTGACAGCTTAAGAGTAAAGTCTGAAAGGAGAGTAACAGAAGCGAGGATGGCGTTGGAGAGCATCTTACACGCTGTACCTGGAGCAGGGACTACTGCCCAAGGACTCCTCAACACCACATGGGCATTTGAGGCCAGATCATTCTTGGTTGTGGGGGGGCTGTCCTTTGTGTTACAAGCACATTTAGAAGCACCCGGGATTCTTCCCACCAGATGCCAGTAGCAATGCTTCTTCCAGTTGTGACGATCAAAAATGTCTGCAGACACTGGCCATGTCCCTGGGGCATGAAACACTCTTCACTGACAACTGCTACTGCAGGCGCAGGGCAGCCTTGACAGATCACTCAGCACTACAGGCATCAAGCCAGTTTGGCACCTTTGTCACATCACTCTGTGGCTTTGAGGGAAACAGGTTTCAGAGAGAAAAGCCTAGAAGCAGAAAACTTAGGAGTCTATTGCAAAAACCCATAGGAGAGGTGATAATGGGTTTATCAGAGAGGTTAGAAGAGGTTAGAAGACTGAAGTCTCCTCTTGATGGTGTGTGATCAGGAAATGAAGTTGTTGGTTACAAAAGAGAGAGACAGAGAGAGAGAGAGAGAGAGTCCAGCAATATTACAGTGTCCTGGTTGGAGAGGGGTCGTTATTGCTAACTGAAATGAACAAGGTAGGAGGAGGTGAAGGTTTGAAGGAAAGGAGAGTAACAGAAGCGAGGATGGCGTTGGAGAGCATCTTACACGCTGTACCTGGAGCAGGGACTACTGCCCAAGGACTCCTCAACACCACATGGGCATTTGAGGCCAGATCATTCTTGGTTGTGGGGGGGCTGTCCTTTGTGTTACAAGCACATTTAGAAGCACCCGGGATTCTTCCCACCAGATGCCAGTAGCAATGCTTCTTCCAGTTGTGACGATCAAAAATGTCTGCAGACACTGGCCATGTCCCTGGGGCATGAAACACTCTTCACTGACAACTGCTACTGCAGGCGCAGGGCAGCCTTGACAGATCACTCAGCACTACAGGCATCAAGCCAGTTTGGCACCTTTGTCACATCACTCTGTGGCTTTGAGGGAAACAGGTTTCAGAGAGAAAAGCCTAGAAGCAGAAAACTTAGGAGTCTATTGCAAAAACCCATAGGAGAGGTGATAATGGGTTTATCAGAGAGGTTAGAAGAGGTTAGAAGACTGAAGTCTCCTCTTGATGGTGTGTGATCAGGAAATGAAGTTGTTGGTTACAAAAGAGAGAGACAGAGAGAGAGAGAGAGAGAGAGTCCAGCAATATTACAGTGTCCTGGTTGGAGAGGGGTCGTTATTGCTAACTGAAATGAACAAGGTAGGAGGAGGTGAAGGTTTGAAGGAAGAGTTAGTAAAATCTTTCCTAGAATTGCAGCCAGGGGATAAAACTTCTGTGTCTACCCAGAGGGTGGAAGATGCTGCTGTGATGTAGTGTTAACACCCTGAATCACCTCACTGGGTGCGGAGGGGCCAGCACCCACTTTTACCACCAGAAAAAATATGTCTTAACTTTGGACATAGAGGTTTAAAGTATGGAACAACAGGATCCTGGAGAAGAAGAAAGCTGAATTCCAGAAAGTAGTTCTTGTAGAAGATGGAAGGGAAAACCATATTTTACATGGTGGAGCTGGTAGGCACAGTCTAGCCCTCCTGTCTCTCCACCAGCATCCTGAACACTTTCTACACCGACCTCCGGCAGCGCCTTGAACAGGACACGCATCCTTGACCTGAGCAGGTGTTCCCAGCCTCGACCTGGGTAGGTCCTCAAAGGCGATCTCACGCCCTCCCATAGAAACCTGCCGTCTCCTTTCTGTGCTTTCATCACAATTTGCCCGTGTCACTTGGCTTACTGCTCAGCCTTGGCCTCAGCCTCAGTCCCCCATTCCCAGAGAGCAGTGACACTGGCTGCTCCCTTCACAGTTCTCAGCCCGAGCTCTACCTCAGTGTCTGGAACTCACGGGCACTTGGTAAGTGTCTAATATTTATCTGTTCAATAACTGTGGGATAAACGGATAAATGATGCAGACAGAAGTAGCAATTCCAGAGTGGGAAGTTGTAGAAGCTTTGACCAGTAGTCTCTTCTATCTGAACGTAGACTTTCTGAGACTTAGGTAGAATGTTTGACGGAAAGCTGGCTGGGCCTGAATGCGGGGGGCGGGGGGGTCCTCCACGTTAATCCTGTGGTCTCGGCTTTCACCTGGGTAACCACCCACATACCCGAGTCAGAGCAAGCTGCCTTCCTAGCCTGAGCAGCTTGCCGGTGACCCTGGAGAATCTCAGGGAGCCTGGATGACAAACCCAGCATTTTATACTAAGGACTTTTGAAAATAACACTTACTATAAACTTGGAAAGTATGAAAATAAATACATTTTGCCTTATATGCAAAAAAAGCTCAGTTTTATATTACAACTTAAAAATAATTCCTAAAATAAAAATACAGGGTAAAAATGATTTTATAGTAAACATTTTTACATCATTTTTTATGGTAAGATATCATAAAACATCTTTCCTTTCAGGTTTACTTTTACTCTATCTTCATAGGAATCGTCACAGTTGCACAAAATACATTAGGTCTTCACCAATTTCTCTAGTGACATTTCTTAGTTAATTGTATGATCTCTGTATATCCTCTTTAGAAGATATCATTTTCCCTATGGATCTTCTCTAGAGTTAAATCAACAGTTAACTGGTGGCAGCCAGATTCTCTTTGTAAATGTCTTTGTGTGGGGTTTAAGCAATTTTCCAATATCACTTTTATTGATTTCTGGAAGTTCTGTATACTTATAGTTTTTGTTACTTCTCTTCACAATCAGTTATGTTTTCTTTGCACTGTATCACCTGAGCCTGCCACCACCAACTCCATGTAAGTGAGTAAACCACTGAGTTAAACAAGACCACCTGTTTGTAAGTGGCCCGTTCATCAGTGACCCCATGTGCATCTCTTAATTTTTTTTTAATTGCCAGACACACACACACACACAGAAAGTTTGGCAGGACTTTTGAAAATAACACTTACTATAAACTTGGAAAGTATGAAAATAAATACATTTTGCCTTATATGCAAAAAAAGCTCAGTTTTATATTACAACTTAAAAATAATTCCTAAAATAAAAATACAGGGTAAAAATGATTTTATAGTAAACATTTTTACATCATTTTTTATGGTAAGATATCATAAAACATCTTTCCTTTCAGGTTTACTTTTACTCTATCTTCATAGGAATCGTCACAGTTGCACAAAATACATTAGGTCTTCACCAATTTCTCTAGTGACATTTCTTAGTTAATTGTATGATCTCTGTATATCCTCTTTAGAAGATATCATTTTCCCTATGGATCTTCTCTAGAGTTAAATCAACAGTTAACTGGTGGCAGCCAGATTCTCTTTGTAAATGTCTTTGTGTGGGGTTTAAGCAATTTTCCAATATCACTTTTATTGATTTCTGGAAGTTCTGTATACTTATAGTTTTTGTTACTTCTCTTCACAATCAGTTATGTTTTCTTTGCACTGTATCACCTGAGCCTGCCACCACCAACTCCATGTAAGTGAGTAAACCACTGAGTTAAACAAGACCACCTGTTTGTAAGTGGCCCGTTCATCAGTGACCCCATGTGCATCTCTTAATTTTTTTTTTAATTGCCAGACACACACACACACACACAGAAAGTTTGGCAGCCACAGAGGAGGGCAGGAACCTCCACTCAGTAAGGAAAGTGTCTTACTAATTGTATTGATATCATAATTTCAACTCCTAAAAGTCAAAACTCAACCAAGATGAAAGTTCAGCAATCTGGTTCAGAAAGACCACTGTGTGGTGCCATCCTGTCTTCACCTGTGTCCTGCCTCACCTGGCTGGATGACATCGTGCAAGTCACTTAATCACAGGTGCCCCATCACCTAGAACATGGGAGGATTCCACTAGTTGGTCCACACAGACTCTTCCAGCTTGATCATTGCATGAATCACTGAACAATCTATGATTTACAGAAAAATCTCCCTTTTAACCATGTCACAATTTGTTACTTATCCACAAAGTCACACGATTCTAGAATACCCTGCCTTTTACGTTCCCCAGAGTAACCTGCTGCTATACTATGCTCCTTCTCATCTAGTACCGAGTTCAATGATCATTCTACCTCACAGACAAAGTGGATTCAGTATCTAGTGATGAGAGCTGGAGGTGCTTATGAGGAAATGATTCACGTGGGGCAAAGTAGGCGCTGGGTTCACGTTTACTACAGAAACAGCCCGTGCTTGTCAGATACATCTCTTAAGATGTTCAAGTGCTACTGAAATGCAAACATGCCACAGGTAGGTCCTAATTACAGAGAGAGAAAAACTAAACCATGACAGTTTCAAAATAAAGGTAGTGTAGCTTGGGCCTTCCCTTGTGAGGCCATCAGGAAAGGCCATTTCCTCTTGTTGAAAGATGCTCTCCTCTCCGGGAGAACAAACTCTTCCCTTTATGTGCATAAATTTACAACATGACACTATCAAGGATGAAGTACTTTCATTGTTTAGCTTGTGGAGACATAACTTTGGAGTCTGTTATGAAAACGTTTACCTTGAAACATCCACCCTTAAATAATGGAAAGTCAATTCTGTGCTAGCAGCAGGGAGAGTAGCTGTGTGTGGAAGTTCAAGTTGGTTTAGAAACCCATGGCCACTGTTAGGCGCAAGGATTATGATTTTTAGGAATTTAAACGAATTCCGAAACGAGAAATCTGGCATTGTAAGAGAAGCAATATGAAAAGCGTCACAATTTCGTGACTGCCACAGGAGGTTTCGGAGTAGGCAAGATGTCCAGGGTGATGTACAGTCATCCTATCGTGTGGGGACCAAGAAGATGTTGAAAAGGTCAGAGATTTGGCTGATTCAAATACATGATTAACTGTGAGGATGATGGCTGAAGAGTTAAATTTAGACCAAGAGACAGATGCTCACATTCGGAGAGAAAACTTGAACATGAGGAAAGTTTCTGTGAAGAGTGAGCCAAGGCCTTTGAGTGATGAACAGAAACAGCGAAGTCTTGACATTTGTTCTGGTCCTGCAGAGGGAGCCGAGTGAAACCATGCTTTGTGAAGAAACATGCCACCAGAAATGTTCTAAAGAGCAAAATCTTAGATGCAGGAGATGCGAGTTTGTGATGAAAATATCAACATTCTCACTACCTGCCTCCAAGAACCTTTATTAAATCACCTTTATTTAATCATTACACGCCCCTGCACACATCCTAGGTGCATGAAATTGGGCTAGGCGTGGTGAAAGTTATAAATATGCAAAAACATGGTCACGTCCTTCCAACTCTCTGTGACTCACTGAAGGACAGGAGACGCCATCGTAAGGGTTGTCACAATGCGGCAGGGTGCAGGGCAGTGGTCGGAGAGTGGTTAAGAGTAGTACAAACCAGCACTTATGAGAGACCAATATCCAGAGAAACATTAATGTGCTTCTTTGATATTACCGGGGCACTCGATTTATCTGTCAAGACCAAACAGGGACTAGTGAATTCAAAGAAATTCTGGGTGACCTTCTGTGTTACACAAAGCAAAAGCCATGGTGAGGAGCTTTCTAAAGGTTTCCTGAGAGCGCTCACTCCATAAACTCCACGAAGTTGTTTTGGATCTGTGCTATAGCTTGATGGGAAATAACTTGGATATAAAATGAAAATGAAAATGCCCTTTTACAGGGCTAAGATGTCCCACTTTTGAGAAGAGTCGAGAAAATGATGTGAGTATTGCAGGAATTCTCTAACTGTGGTTTCCCCAATGGATTCCTCTAATGGAATGATGTCCATTTATCACAAGAAGCTGTGGCTCTGTATTTCAGACATATCCGTCTGATCATGGAAGAGAGTGTGTTTTGTGTGTTGCATTCGTTTATTTGTGAAGATATGCTCCGAATGAGAGTTCAGGTGATGGTGCAGTGGTAGGCAGATGCAATACTCTGCAAGGCAGCCAGCGTGGCCAGGTTCAGTCAGCTGTGAGACCTTCCTGAGACAGGCACATGCCTGCCCGTGATCTGGGCTGGCTGACTGAAGGTAGAGGTGGATTACGGTGTTGAGACCATGTTGGAGTTCTGTGGGTATGCGTGTATGTGTCTGTGTCTGTGTGTGTCAGTCTTTCTCTCTCTCACATGGAAAAAATAAACCAATAAAACTAAAACTAAAACTAAATAAACAAGTAAATAAATAAATAAATAAAAATACCCTCCACCCCAGTTGGTTCCTGCAATATTCCTGAAACTCTGGTATAGCTAAAGCGTATTCAATTGCCCTTCACACACATCCGTTTTGTCCAAAGTTTGTACACTGCTTAATTTTCATCAACGGTCAGCAAATTAGTGGAATCTATGTTGACACTTACATTTGAACCTAAAGGTTTATTTATTTTACCATCGCATTAAGGAAACATTATAAAGAGCTTTTAAAAGAAAAACTAATCACTTAGGGACAAGGGATTAAAAAGAACCCCAATTTATCACTTTGGCCAGGTTCGATCAACATTGCATCATGAACCAATACCCCCTAATGAGGAGAGCTGCAAAACACTAAATAAATATACCATTATACTTAATTAACTTAAGAGAGAAATCTTCCGATTTCCTGAGCGCTTGTCGACTTTAACCCATTTATGGAGGAGGATGATGGTATGTGTGTACATTTGTGATGAACACAAACGGATATCTTGGATATTAATGGAAAATGAATAGATTTTACTATGTGCAATAAAGTAGAAACAACCGTTTAGACACTGCCTTACATTCATTCTAATTCAGACCAGAGCATCCTGAAGAATGATCCTGTCGCATAGATGTAACTGTACGTATTTAGGAATTTTTATGAATGTAGAATGCACCAAGTGTGTAGTGATATGAATAAAAAATTACTAGACGTAGCCAAGAGGAAAGAAAAAACGAGGGAATAGAAAATCGACCATATAATTTACTGCGTTAGATACTTTCAG